TAATTATATATATATAATAATATTTGAAACAACATAATATGATGAAGAATATTGTTTACCCTATCTTTGAACCACATAACAAAACTTCTGTTGCGTGCTTTGTGTGGATCAGAAGGGGTCATATATAAACCAACTTCTCGATCAAAGATGTTGAAATATCGAAACAATTAGGTGTGACCACAAATGGAATGTTGAACTAGCTTGCTATAATCCAGCAAGCTTTCTCTAAAAATTTAATAAAAAAGATTTTAGTTTGTCATATCTCACCTAAGAAGCGCATCAACTTCCCTACAATTTAGTAGTACATAAAGTTCAGCTGCCTTCATCTCTTGAGTAGTTAGATAGTGTGTCTATGAATGTGAACCCATTGGATGACCAGGGCATGCAAACATTGAGAATTATGTGTTCCTATAAAGTGGAACTGTTGCAAAGTTCCTTGGGGGCTTACTCCAACTTGTTTCAACATCCGCACCAAAATATTGGGAGCAAAAATCTGTTATTTCATTGAGAATGTATACTTCGACAATGGATGCCTCAACATGATTCTTATTCCCTATTGTTTGTTTAAGTTTGTGCATTTGTCTGTAAAATTTGAAATAAGCTATGAGTATAACAAATTGTTATATATTCTGTTGTACATGAAACTATTGTGAACTTGTTTGCATTACCGTTCAAATGGGTACATCCATCAAAATTGTACAAGCCCACCAATTCGCGTTTCGAAAGGAAGATGGATTGTTAGGTGCTCCATGCAATCAAAAAATGATGGCGGGAAGATTCTTTCCAACTTACATATTATTTCAACTATCTTTGTTTTCCAAACTGCCATGTCTTTTATGTTGACATTTGGGGAACACAGTGCATGAAAAAAATTACTTACTTCTGTTAATGGATCCCATATAAAATCCGGCAACAAGCCACGGAAAGCAATTGGAATGAGGCGCTGCATGAATATGTGGCAATCGTGACTCTTCAATCCAACTAAGCGTAACTCAGCTAAGTTCACACAACGTGCGATGTTAGATGCAAAACCATCTGGAAATCGCACATGTTTGAGCCACATACATAGACATCTTTTTTTATCCGTGTTAAGTGTATAACTTACATTTGGCTTGCAAAGCGACCCAGAACGGTCATAGTACAAGTGTAGTTCCTCCCTATCACAGTACAATGGTAGTTCTTCCCTATCACAATACAATGGTAAGTCCATTTTACTGATGGATTTCCAAATAAAACATCAGGTAGTGCGGCAACTCGAAGTCAAACAGAATGACCATCTAATCGTGGATGAGGTGGCCAAATTCAAAGCGGCCCTTAAGGAAATGAGTTGTATTCATTCTGTACGAGTGTGATGCAGGAAGAAACTGTCGATGACAATCAAAGAATGAGATCTTGTGACCATTTTGCAAGTAAAAAGCACGAGTCATTTCCATGCAATATGGACAAGACAGACGGCCATGCGTGCTCCATCCAGAAACCATACCATAGCCGGGGAAATCCGTTATGGTCCACATAAGCACGGCTCGCATTGTGAAGTTCTGTTTATGGAAGCTATCAAATGTTTCTACCCCTGACGACCATAACCGTTTCAGGTCATCAATAAGTGGACAGAGGAAAACATCAATGTTTTTTCTTGGACTCTTTGGCCCAGAAATAACAAGTGTCAGGAATGTAAATTCAGGTCGCATGCACATCTCAGGAGGAAGATTGTAAACAACAATAAAAACAAGCCAACAGGAATATGACCTCGAAGAGTGACCCCATGGGTTAAACCCGTCTGTTGCAAGATCAACCCGGACATTTCGCGGATCAGCTGCAAATGAAGGATGAACAACATCAAAGTGTTTCCAAGCATTAGACTGAGCTGGATGAATGAGGATCTCTGAGTCCACACGACATTTAAGGTGCCATGTCATATGCTCAGCGGTTTTACGAGACATGTACAGCCTCTGTAGGCGTGGAATAATGGGTAGATACCACAAAGAATTCCTCGGCCTATCCTTTTTTCTAGTTTGAGCCGAGTTGCGTCTTTTATACCTAGGTTTACCACAAACTGGATAAGCAGTAAGTGACTTAGCCTCATCACCATAATACAGAAAGCAGTTGTTGACACATGCATCAATTTTGACATAGCCTAAACCTAGGCTTTTCATGAATTTTTTTGCTTCATAAAAATTTGATGGTACTTTTTGCTGATCTTCCGGACTTAATAATTTCCTACAGCCATGAATGATCTCATTGTAACCAACACCACTTATGTTGTTTTTGGTTTTGGTGTGCAGCATATATGATAACCAACCAAGCAATGTTTGGTTATTAGATGCTGGTCCAAGCGAGATGGTTGAAGTACGCAACAAGTCATAAAAAGATTGTGCATTATTATTTGGCACATCTCCAACATTTTCAGATGCAAACTCTGTTTCATTTCCATGACAATCATTCTCAGATGGACAGAATGCATCATAAATTATGTGATGGAAATCATCCTCAGCATTACCATGTTCCTCAATATTACTTGAGGATGCCACATCACTTGCGGTAAACCATGGATCAATATTGTTACTTAAAGTTTCACCATGTGTCCACCACACAGAATATGCATCCATGAAACCATATCTCAAGAGATGGTTTGTTACAACTGCCCTATTGTGGTGAGGTAAATTTCCACATTTACTACGGGGGCAACGAATTTCGGCATTCGGGTGGACACCGGGACGATTATATACAAAATCAAAAAATTGTTGTAATCCATTAAAGAATTCGCCATCATAATCTCCATGAGGACCTTGTCATCTATACATCCAACGACGATCATCTGTCATTTTTAACTGAATAATACAATTAATATTTTGAGTAAATTAAATCATTATTAAAGTAATAATAGTAATTAGGTTAAATACCCTTTTTGGTCCCTCTACTATAGGAAAAAGCCCTTTTTTGGTCCCTGTACCGAAAAAATTCCCTTTTTGGTCCTTACTATTCACAA